TAGCTCTGAGCTCCAATTCTATAGAATATAGGCTCCAGTGTAGCTTTGTCGTCCTTAATCATTTTTAATAATGATACCAGTTCTTCTTTTTTTTTGTCATCTGTTGAAACAAAAATGTAATCATTTATATTGCTGTAATAGTATTGCATTTTGTACTGTCTGTCGCACACGCCTGTGCTTGTGCATGGGCGTTTTCATTTGTGGTACAAGGTAAGGAGTGCCGCCTAGTGCTCAGTCATCACAATGTCCGTTTGTACCAGGCTTGCTTTCTGCTCGCGGTCACAGTCCAGCTGTATTGAAGCCCGTCTTGAATTTGGTTGATGTAGCGGTTAGGACTCGAGACTCCAGACACGAAGGTCAAGCGTTCCAGCCCAAAGGGGGATACAGCTGTTGTAGCCTTGGGCAAGGTGATTTTCCTAGCCCCAGTATATGATTTTATTGTCGAAGTTTGAGTGGGGGGCTGCGTCAGCATGTATAGGCTTGCAAAGGAACAGGTGAAGGTTTATTCCGTGCTGAAAGGAGAAGAAAAAAAAGACACAGGTGTGAAAAACTGAAATGTTTTCCTTTTCCTTTCAGAATGGAATAGACCTTTACCTGTTCCATTGCTTTTATTGTATATGTTTAATGTATGTACAAAAGAAGAAAAATGGCCCTGTGGCTAAGGATCTGTGACTGTAAGCCTGTGACTGGAAGGTTGCCAGTTCAAATCCCGCAGGCGGCAGAGGAATCCTACTCCGTTGGGCTCCTGAGCAAGCCCCTTAACCCCAACTGCCCTACTCTGCTGGGCTCCTGAGCAAGGCCCTTAACCCCAACTGCTCCAGGGGCGCTGTACAATGGCTGACCCTGCGCTCTGACCCCCAGCTTCTCTCCCCGTCTGTGTGTCTCATGGAGAGCAAGCTGGGGTATGCGAAAAGACAAATTCCTAATGCAAGAAATTGTATATGGCTAATGAAGTGATCTTCTCGTATATTGTATATATTGTATTGGATACTCTTCAGGTCACCATTGCGAGGGAGTGGTTTTAAAGGTTGAAATCAGAAGAAGCTGTCCTGTTCCTCAAGGCGCAGTGCTGTTCTGACCTCTGTGTCGTCCTCTTCCTCTTGACCTCAGCCCTCCCGTGAGGCGGCAGCGGGGGCGCAGGGACCGGCTGTCCAGGCACAGCGCCGTCGGGCAGGACGAGAACTTCCACCACCTGCCCTACGGCCAGCCCCCTAGCCTGGAGGAGCCCCGCGCCTTCCACCCCCCCAACATGTCCCCTCGGCTCCTGCACCCCGCCGCCCACCCGCCCCAGCAGAGCGCCGTCATGGTGGACATCCACGACCAGGTGAGCCGCGGTCGGGGGGAGGGGGTCTGTCGTGTGGAGCTCCACACGCTGCGAAGAAGAGAACGAAACTCTTCCGCCTGTGGTGTCAAAAATGTGACAGCCTGGAAAACTCCTCTGGTTTATGAATGTGGGTTTGCGTGGTGTCGAAGAAAGCCTTCTCCCACATTTTTGTGTTATTTTACTTATTATAAACGGATAAAATGGTGCACAATTCAAAGAATATTTGGAAATGGAGGTCAATGGAAAATCACCTGATCATCACGTTCAGGGCTTCGCGTTTTTGACTGCACCATTCTCGTCGAGAACTTTCATGTCTTCTTCCAGTCGAGCTTTGGTACTTCAGTTCCACCCATCCCTTTGTCGAGCTCCAGGCACACAAGCCACTAACTACAAAGAGAAATAGCTCTTCCCCATGTGGTGTAAAAAATCTGAGAACCTTTCTGGAAACTTCTCTGTTTTATGAATGTGGGTTCGCAACATTGTGTGAAAGAAAAGTTTGTCCCACTTCTCTCTTTGTGAAATACTCCTCTTAGCGTAGCTGTGAAAAACATTTCCTAAACCCTCTGTCCTCTTTATGTAGACGGTCTTCAACGTACATGCGCCGGAGAACTCTTTTTCATTTCTGCTCCCACGTTCGCCTTTCCTGTGAAATCGGAAGCAGTGCTTTATGTAGAAGTGTTCCTGCGTTTCCTTTCCTCCTCTTGATTTGCGGTAGAAATCCTGAGTTAATTAAGGCAAACGAGCGAGGTCCAGGCTTCTGCTCTGTTCTTGGGTCGACAGGTTGAGCTCCGGCGCAGCGATTGAGATATCGAACGCCGTTAATTAGCAGCTGAAAGAAAGCGCTGCGTCATCTGCGATGTGGTGTTTTCTTGTGGTGGGCTGTACGTGACCTTTAACCCATTGCTTTGCGTGTAGATTCACCAGGGTACCGTGCCCGTGTCGTATACCGTGACCACAGTGGCGCCTCACGGCATCCCCCTGTGCACGGGCCAGCACACGCAGCAGGTCCCGGGCTGCTCGGTGGTCTTCAGCGGGCAGCACTATCCCGTGTGCAGCGTCCCACCCCCGGTGAGTCCTCCGCACGCTGCCTGCACCCAGTGTACACCAATGTGTCGACCGACAACGTAGACCAGGGGTATCCAGTCCTGGCTCTGGTCTGCAGGTTCGTTGCATGCTGGGAGTGCTGGGAGAAACTGTCAGGTCGATCTCGTTGGGCCGCTAGGGAACGAGCTGGTTTTTAGGTTGCTAAGAGATGAGCTGGAATGAAAACCTGGAGGCAGACACACTGGCCCCACAGGGCTGGGATCTCCCTGCCCTGCTTTAGAGCTGTCATAACGCAGGCCTAAAGGACAGGAAACCTTGAGGAAAGCCAGCTCCAGATAAAGATTTTGGTACTTTCTAGATGAGGAATACACAGAATCCTATGGCTTCAGTCAGTAATGGTACTAATTGCATGACCAGGAGCTGGTAATTTCATATAATTTTTATTTTAGAAGTGGGAATCCTGAACCGAGACAGAGAGGTCTTATCTAATTTTCTGCCTTTGATGTGTCACGTAATTATTTTTTCTATGTCCATGAATCCCTACACCCAGGAACAGCTTAACATTTTCCTGTGAAATATCTCTTGGCTTCCCTCCCTTAAAGTGTACCTCACTGTGCTTGCATCTTTTTAGCTGTGGTGCTCCATGTGCTTTTGGATGAGGTCCACGTCACTGTAGTTTGATCAGTGTGTCTTAAGACACATTTTCACAGCAAATCCCTTTCTAATCAATAGTAGTTTTCACAGTAACCTGTACATTGGTGCCCTCTAGTGGCCTGCAACAGTAGTTCTCAGGATGGGTGAGCCTGTTCAACTTCTGCAATATCTTATTATGAAGAATTGTGTCAAATGTAAAACATCAAAGGCATACAGTATTTAAACATAAAGGTTTCTGAGCAAGATTATATTTTATCAAACGGAGACACATAAGACATGGCAGTTAAAGAAATCTGAACTTTAAAAAGAAGTTTTGACTTTCTGAATTATTCAAAGAACAAAGTTTTCTGTGCCAGAAGCTTGGCAAATTTTGGGGTCATGACTTTCTAATTAAAAACGTAAATAACGCAGGTCATTTTGCAATGATGCACATTGTTTCCCAATGTTATTATATGATATTATGAAAGGATAAAATGTCGCACAATTCAAAGCTGTCTTAAGAATATTTGGGAATGGCGGTAAAAGAAAATCATGTGATTATCAGGTGATTCAGGGCTTGTTCAGTGTTGAACACTTGAATGCCCTTTATAGTCTGTTGAGAATTTTCTTTTAAACAAACTACCTGGAGATACAATATTTTTAAAAAAATATTTTTCCAAGACGGGCTCAACAGCTCTTGACTGGATTGAACAAGTGTAGTTATTCATTTGGAAAAAGAAAGATAGCAGTTCATTGACCAACCCTTGACACAATCTCTCATTGTCGAGGAAATGGATGTGTTCTAGAACTGTAACATATCGGTCTCCGTTCTGTGATTCAGATGAAGGTGAATAGAATACACACGTTCCTCTTTTTGTGAACATAATCCGTTCCCAATAACCCTTTCAAAAAGTGAAAATTTCTAAAACGAAAAATCTCTTTCCATTATTTCTTATGGGGAAAATTCTGAACCATTCCGGACCCCAAAAATGCCACCCCTTCTTTTAATTTTTAATTCACCAAAAAATGACAAAAGTACCAACAATAATTAACATTTATACCGTGGTTTGTGTTTTTAGTAATAACACTGCTTACCTTGTTAGTCAGCATACCTAACTACAGTACTGTAAGCATTTTGTTTTCTTTTTATGTAATTACACACCCATTCACAATTTTCATAACACCCTTATTGTCCGTGATAAAGTCTTAGACACAAATATTCTCACGAAACGTACGGGTGTACACAATATTGAACAGGGCACGAAGCAAGACGCAGTAAACGGTCTCACACTTGTCTCCTGTGCCATTTCGAAGGCTCTGTGCTAGCCTTCACCCACACTAGTTAGTGGAAGGTGACGTGAACACTTGATATGAGTCGCCTTCCCCTTCGCTTTCCAAACCTCTGCCAAATGTAGAGAGTTTTTTCTTCCAATCGCATTTTTCTTCAGAGTTCAAAAGCTGGCTTTCATTATTCGAAACGTGGGTAACAATTCGCACGCGTCCTGGTTTCGCATTTTCTTGAAAGGCAATTTGTAAAAAGAGGTATGGGTGTCCACTGTTCTCTTGAATATAACAGTGCTCTCTCTCTCTCGGCTTTGTTTCAGATGCTGCAGGCATGCTCTGTTCAGCACCTGCCCGTTCCCTATGCATTCCCGTCTCTGATCTCCAGCGACCCCTTCCTAATACACCCCCCCCACCTCTCACACCACCCACCCCACCTCCCTCCCCCCGGCCAGTTCGTCCCCTTCCAGACCCAGCAGTCCCGATCGGTGAGTGTCGCGCTGGGCGCGCTGCCTGTTTCCACACCGGTGAAAGTCTTTCAAGGGAAGATGTGTTTCTGGGGAGAGGAGAGCAGCTCAGTGGAGCTCGGGCCCCGGGTTCGATTCAGTGCATGTTCTCCCCGCGTTTGTATGGGCTTCCTCCAGGTGCTCCAGTTTCCTCCCGTGGTCCGAAGACATACTGATAGGTTAATTGGCCCTGGTGTGTGGTGTGTGTGTGTGTTTGCCCTGTGATGGACTGGCGTCCCTTCCAGGGTGTATCCTGCCTTGCGCTCGTTGCTTGCCAGAATAGGTTCAGGCTTCCTGCAACCCTGTTATTCGTTGGGTGGCTGTGAATCCGTTAGAAAACGCACAGATGGACGTGCTACTGAGGTGGAGAATGTCCTACTTTAGATCCAGAATTCCACCTGGGTCGTAACAGTAACACCCTTCTTAGTGTTAGGACTATTCTAGTTATATTTGTAATTCTGAGCTAAAGTGTTCTGAAAATCCAGGTTTATTCTTTTGTAGGGCAGGTTTTGTTTCTAATTCTAAATATATTTGTTTCTGAAATCTATGGCTCCCGTTAAGTTCTACTTAAATGAGCTTTAATTCTACTTGTTGATAAATGTCAGATCAAATGTCCAGTACTTAGGGTTCGCTAGTAGATAGTTGTCTACTCAGTGAGGCGAGACATAATAGTTAATTAGCACTGTGGAATTGCAATCTTATAGTTATCTGCCAAACACAAAGTAAGGATGCTCTCTGCTTTAACAATAATAAGACCAAAAATTCTGGGGTTATGTTAACACACACAGCACCTACAGTGCTGGTGCCTGTATTTGGAATACTTAGTTCAGTGGAAGTTTATATTGTGATTGAGCTTTTTATGTGTGAGCTTCTCTGTAAAATTGGCTGGATTTGTTCAGATATTATGTAGGAAGAATTTCAGTAGTTCTTAGGTCTGTGTGCTTGCGGTATGTACCGCTCTCACAGGGTCCAGCATGTTGGAGTCTATAGAATGTGCCATATCAGTACATTAACCCCCGGGCCTTCCTGCCTTTGTTCCTCTGCAGCCACTACAAAGGATAGAGAACGAGGTGGAGCTCCTGGGTGACCACCTGTCAGTGGGGGGAGGGTTCAACTACCCTCATTCTTCACACCCCACCAGCCTGCCCCCTTCCACACCGCTCCAGTTCCTATCCCACGACCCCCTGCATCAAGAGCTGTTCGGAGTTGTAAGTTCCCACTCGGCTTAAGTTCACAAAGCTCTGTAGATTTGCCTCAGGGTACTGTTTATACGCAACCACGACGAAGAGTCATGCTGGAAATGTGCTGAGGCGACAGAACATGGAACAAAGAACTGCAGAAAGATGGAAAAAATACCAACGTAGTGAGAAAATGGGGGGAAAACGAAAATGAATGGTCAAAGAAGAGTTTGAGTTCTGTTGTTTGGTCCGATTGGTGCCATATTACTGGCTCATGCAGAAGACTAAAAATGGAAGATTTTCACATTTTGTATTTTAGTGCGGTTTACTGTTACTTGGATGTTTACTCCTTGTTTGCTGTTCATTTTTTAAAATTTAGAATCAGAAATGTATTATGCAACCATGCATTGCGGATTCACCCACCAGATGTTTTTTTTGTGACTGGGGGTCTGGCATTAAACTGCCATCAATGAGACCTGTAGGGGTGCTGTTACACAGAGCCGTTTGTCTTTTGACTCATAGTGAGCTCCATAGCGGTACATAGGAGAGTTCGGTCCTATTGGAGGAGTGGCTCGTCTCTTGCTGAGGTCACTGCAGGCCTGTGGGTACCCACTAAGCTGAGAGAGCCCTTGCTTGACTAAAACTGTTTGGATACAAGCAAAACCTGGATTTCGCAGTCTGCTGGTGACAATACCCAGCCTCAAGCTAGGAAACTATGACCCCTAGAGCTCAACCTACATAACCATCCTTTACAGGAGGAGCCACTTGGATCCCTTGATACTGTTGTTTTGATTATGGATTAACAACCATGGAGCCGTTTCTATGGCATGCAAGTTTCAATATCATGAAAGACAGTCTGAGAAATTTATTACGGATACAGCAAACCCCTCCTGCACAATCAGGTTGTTTTGGATTACGGTCCTGTGTAATTGTCCACTCCCCAAATCTAAACATAAGTATGATACCTTGTCTGTAAAGGCAAAAGCAATTAAAAAAATGTCTACACTGAATGAACTACGCTCATTAAGAGCCAGTATAAATACCGTGCTGTATAACCTCATGATGTCCAGATGCTTCAGTGTTAGGAGAGTGGGTGACAGGGTTTGTCTCGTGTCTCGCCAACAGCCTTATCCACATTTCATGCCTCGACGCATCACTGGGCGCAGATATCGATCCCAGCAGCCTTTGCCCCCTCCACCTTATCACCCCAGCTTCCTGCCATACTTCCTGTAAGTAAAGCAAAATTGTGAACATCTGGTAGTTAATAATAAGTGATTTTTTTTCAGTGTTGTTAAATTTATATTTATCTGTACCCATCAAAAGATGCTCATCAAAAGGTGATACAATTCTAATTAAACACACTCTACATAAATATTGTAAAAAAATGTATATTTATATATAAAACAGTGAAAACATAAATATTTAGGTACAATTTTCCCTTTTAATGTCATTTATAAACTCTTCATTATTATCTTTATTGTTTGAGGTACTAGAGCCTTTTAAGCTTAATTTTCTAGAACAATCAGTGGCACGGACAGCACGGGCCAAATGTTTCATTACTGTGTTCCTGAAGTGTTAAGTCTGACATTTTAGGATTGGTTTGTTGTTTTCGTAACATCACACCTGCACATGCAGGAATGAAAATGAAAACTGCGTTTCCTGTTATCACGTATACTACTTTCCGAGTTTCCAGCATTTCACCACAGTGTCTTCAACACAGCACTGTCTTGACAAGAGTAACTTTAAACGTGTGCTAGTTTTGTAGCAAGAAGACATTTTTGCCAGCCATGTTCCAGATCAGAGCACTGCTCTTGCTGTTGTGCTGCTTCTGCAGTCTCAACAGAAAAGGTTGGCAGGTCGTTTCTGGTGCTTGTCAGTTATGTAATAGGGGTATGTGAAGTAAATGTTTAAAAATAATCCTTGGAACTATTTAGGAAATTCCTATGGTACAGTGTATTTAGGAAATAAGAATGTTATTTAAAAGAACAGCCAAGCAAATCAGTCTCAGATTGAAGGATCAAGATTCTATAAACAGTTTGTTACAGGCGTGTCTCTGACATAAAATTAGGTTGCTTTTGCTTACACATCACAAAATAATGCATGGCCCAGCGTATAACCATCCATTCTTTATTAAACTCCATTTCCTTCCCCCTCAAATACTGTTTTTAAAAATTGCATTAACCCTGAAAACTGCCCGAATGAAATACGAGTTAAATACGGATGAATGCATTAAGTATTCAGTAGCCTTAATTTACCCTAAAAATCAAATACTAATTCCTAAAGATTTAAAAGGAAAATGAAAAGGTATCAATCGTGACGCCGTGTGTTTTTGTTGATAGTTTGCTCAAGACACCTGGAGGTACTGAACTGTTATTTTATGACAGGCTTAGTGGGTTTTTGGTTACAGTCGCAGAGCAGCTTCAGCAAGCAAAATCTGGCTTGCAGTGAAGGTGCATGGATGACTAAGCTGTTTCTCCGAGTCTTTCTGCCTTATGTCAGCTATCTTTATGGTAAAATGAAGTATTGGGCTTCATGGTTAGCTAAACCTTACCACGCAACACGATAAAAAAAAAAAAGATTTTCACGAACCTTTTAATTTGACAGGCAGGGACGTTCACACTTCCAGTAAGCCTCCCAATAGTGGGGTTGCCGCCCAGCATCTGACAGCTTGCAGTCACGTGACCTGTGACAACACGAGCCAAAGGCCGTGACTTTGACAACTTGCGATTGAAACTGTGAATTGTTTGTCCCCTTGTCCTCCCTTCCCTCTTCTGTTTCAGCTCAATGCTTCCAGTACAGCCCACAGTGGGACCAGCCATTAGTCTAGAGCTTGATGTGGATGATGGTGAAGTAGAAAATTATGAGGCAAGGCTTGTTCTCATTACATTCTGTTCTGTTTTTCTCGATTACAATATGCTTGCGTGGACAAGTGTTTTTCCCTAGTGCTGTCGGTGCTTTTAAAAGCCAGATGAAATCCCTACTAGCAACCATGTGAACAAGATGGCCTCATTTCGTTTGTTTCCTTACTTTCGGGTTCTTTGCTTCTGTAGTCGTCTTCTAAGATGAAAATGCGTGAAATTGTTCTACCAAAAACGGTCAAAACTAAGTGCTGAAGCTAGACGAAGATCATTTTTTTTAGTTGTCAAGAGGTTGTGGCTGTTGGTCAGTAAGCCCACAGCTTTGCAGCTGTCATAAATGTAAATGTTCTCGTGTGGACTTGCTTTCAAGGTTTATTGATGAGATGAATTTCAAATGCATGCATGAGAACAAAAATGTACTGGTTGAAAGCCAGGATTGTAGCTCTTAGGAGTCCCTCCTTTATTAGCATATGAAATAAATTGCCTTAGGCTGCATTTCAATATGTGTGAAGGGTTGCAGCTAACATTAATACTGCATAACATGCAGAAAGTCAGACTTTCAAATGAGCAGAAAACGTTTACTCTCAAAACGGAACAGTTTTTGGTATAATTGTGGAATTATTACAAGCTTCCAGTCACAAAATCTAACTATTATAATAATAACGTAAAACATACAGTAATTTCAAAAACCAAAAAAATACAAACTTAATTCTCAAGTTGTAGTTTGTAATGGCTCCTGAATGGCCTAGAACGTTCTTCTTCATTGTCGTGGTTATAATCAGAAGACGATGAAAGACAACCACTGACCTCATACCAGACACATCAGCCCTTTTCTAACAAAAGACGGAGCGAGGGTGATGGCTTTAGTTTATTTTTTAGACTTTTGAAATGGCATTACAAGCTGTCATTGCTAAAGGTTGTGGCAACTGGAAAAGGTTAGGGTTGGCGTTCGACACGGTGGTCTCCCCAACACGTTTGGAAGGGGGCGATTTTCCCACAGGCTTTGTAACGATGGCTCTCGTCCTGTGTCACTCCAGGCCTTGCTGAACCTGGCGGAGCGTCTTGGAGAAGCCAAACCCCGAGGCTTGATGAAAGCCGATATTGAACAGCTTCCATCTTATCGGTTCAACCCCAACAACCACCAGTCCGAGCAGACCTTGTGAGTACTGAAGCACTGTAAAGACGTGCTGCTCAGCTCATCTGACACCAGATAATCAGTTGGTTTATTTGTTTTTGTATAGCCTGTCTCTTTCTTTGTAGATTTTTCCCAGGAAACCAGAGAAGGGTGCTTTATGATGCAAACTAGGGCAACTTTAAAGAATGCAGGGCAAAAGAGATGGCCGAATCTTTCGGGATCTCCTTATTTACCTTTGCTGTCTGTCACTGAGATTAATATTGCCGTTCTTTATGAGAGTTGTTCAGGTGTGTTAGCACTGTCATATAAAGAGACTCAGGCCTAGAAAGGAACTTAGTGCAGTTTCTCAGGATTTCACTTGAATCCCCGTGGAAATGTTAATTACTGCTTTTTTAAAGATTGGATACAAATGCAGAGTGCACTTTGCACTTTCGTTAGCGGCACAGAATAATCATCTTAATAGACAGATGTTCACGGTGTACGTGCTGTGTTCTGTTTCAGGTGTGTTGTCTGTATGTGTGACTTTGAGTCCAGACAACTACTTCGAGTCCTACCGTGTAACCACGAATTCCACGCCAAGTGTGTTGACAAATGGCTGAAGGTAAGTTTCCACGGAAACCATGGGAGCCACTTCTTTACGCACAGGATTGTGGGAGTTCGGGAGAAGCCACCCAGCCATTTTGTCAGAGCTGATACCCTGGCTTCTTTCAAGAAACAGCTGGATGAGATCGTGGAATCAGTTAACTTCCAACTACCAAACAGGCTTTCCTTATTTGTAACTGTTCTTCTGTATCTTAATTCACATATTGTTTTGAGTAGAGTAGTATCTGAAAGAATGTTTTTTTTTTTAATGAAATGGAGAACATGCACAGCCTGTTAATGAATTTGTGATCTGTGGTTGATCCACAGTGCGCACTCTGGTTCAGTCCCAGAATAGGTCAAGCGTTGAACTGAAAATAAAAAAAGCAGCTACTGTTCGAGAAAACAATGAACTGAGGCATCACTCCTTATCACGTATCGCCTGTTGCTCAGCAGTAACCTCTCCAGGATTTCTTTCTGTCAGAAATGCAACAGAAGTCACAGGCTTTTATTTCAGTTGTCCATATTTGAGTTAAAGGTAAGGAAAAAGTTTTGAAATGGCAATGTATGTTTTTTATTGGAGCATTGAGATTGCTAAAACTGAACACTTTTTTATGGGTAAAAGAAGTTAAACATTAGGAACAATAGCAAAGAAAATTCAAAAAAACTAGGTGGAAGCACTATTGGCAGCAATTATAGATGTGAGCCTTTTTGGATAAATCTCTATCAACTTTGCAAACTGGACCTGTGCACTTTTCTCCCATTCTTCTTTTCTAGCTTGCTCAAGCTCTGTCGTATTGTTTTGGAAAGGTATGGATACTCAAGCTATGTGTATAATAGAATTTAGTGTCGCAGATCCTCTGGGTTAGTCTTTTTTGCCAATGATCAAGAACATCCAGAATCCTCCAAATGCAGTAAGTTTAGATGATGGCAACAGCAGTAGAGAAGAATAGATAGCTCTTGCAATTTGAATCTGTCTTCTGCCTGTGCATTGTTTTTTCCGCTAAAAATACAGAACGGCCGTGTATGAAGTGCAGTATTATCAGGGTACATAGGATCGGCAGCAGATGAGCCTACATAAGCTCGTAATTTGGTATTGCCAGATTTTTAAATCAACCCGGCTTGATCACCACTGCCACTGCTGATAGGAGGAGAGGTGTGGCTCTTGTTGGCCGGACTGTCAGATCCCATGGGCCTCTGAGAGTCCTGACTCAACCAGCTGGAACACACCCTGGTGTCACACAGTCCACTTGGTGCTTTGTGCTGCCGCCGGGCTATCACTGTTGCCTTTGGATAAGGACATAGGCTCCAGCTTGACCTTTTTTTATAGACTGTTTATAGTCACGGGTGCATCAGTGGGTCAGCCTGTAACAGGCACAGGGAGCATTGTGGGAGCGATATTCAGGTTAGCTGTAGGAGCTGTAGGAGGTTTCCAAACACACAAGAAGGAGGACTGCGGTTTTCGTCACTCGATTTTGCTTCGACCCGATTTCCTCCCTAATCTTGAGCCCCGCAGCAGGATGTTTCGCAAGGAAGCAGCTGGACAGAGGTTGGCGTTGCGGTCCCCAGGCGAGTAGCTACCGGGCACGTCCAGTGCCCCCAGGACGGTTTCCTGCCGCCCAGCGGACTGATTCCAGTCTTCTCTCTCTCTCCCTCTCTCTTCCAGGCGAACCGCACCTGCCCTATCTGCCGGGCCGACGCCTCCGAGGTTCACCGGGATTCGGAATGACCGGAGCAATGGCACGGCTCCCGTTCGGATCTCCCCGTTCAAATGTATATACAGACTCTTTTACATTGCCTCCATCCCCCTACTCCGTATTTTCGTTTTTATTTTATTTTTCATTTTCTGGCTTCCAGTTCTCCCTTTTTACACAAGGGTCAGTGAACCTTCCTTTGCACTGTGTGACTTTGAGTTATATATCTTATATATATATACTAGTCTTCAGAATTACAAATTGCGGGATTGTTATACTAACTGTGTGATTGAAACTCCAAAGATTATTTTTGTTTCTTTCCTGTTGCATCTTTTTTTTTACGTTAATTTGTTTTTTTTTGGATTTGTGTGCACTAACATTCCCTGGTTTTCGTGTGAGCATTCCGAGTTTTGAGCGTTGCTGTAAAAGATTACAATGGAGGTGGTCTTTGAGCATGTGCTTTTTATATATGGAAAAAAAAATGTTTAAAAAAATAATAAAAATGTCTATATATTAAGAAGGAACAAAACTGGGAGCTTGAAACAATACAGCGATGTATACTATGGAATGAGAAAACTGTGAGTGGAGTGCGTATGTGTATATGCGAGTGATATGCGTCTGTGAGTAACTGCCTCACATTCCTTTGTGTTTCTTTCTGGGCTGGCAGGATGGTGAGAGACAAGGTGTCTCTGCGTGCGTTAAGAAGTGTGTGTGTGCGCGACCATGCTTTATTAAGGAGCAACGCATAATCCTGTGATATTTATACAGTACTAGTACAGTACACTGGTCTTTATCTTGTTTTGTTCCGTTTCTCTCAAATGTTTTGCACACCGAATGCTAATGGCGAAGGCATGGAATTAAGAAGTGAATTTTTAGCCTCATCGGGAAACTTTCTATTGCAAATGCATGATGTTTTTATCTTCGCCGTTATATCACAACTTTTGTTGGAGAAAAAAACAATTGCTCAAGGAATGTAAAGAGCATTTTTTCTTTTTTTCCCCCCCTCCATACAAAGTTTGCTCTCCAGCTGAACGGATGTCTTAAAACTTCCCTTTGCAACACAGTGCATTCTGGGATTGCTCAGACCGTGTTTGGTTTCAAGGGCTCAAACTCTCAATGACCAGTGCTGAAGAAATCAGGGTGTTGGGAAGGCACCACTATCCGCAATGTGACTTATTGTATGTCTGTGATTTTATAAACTTCTTTTTTGCTGTTTTGGCTGTCTCTTCTTACCCATGAGGTTCTTTTGGCACAGGCCTCAGATCTTTTTTTAGGCTTAGGCGTCCACATCGCGTGTAAAATCGGAACCTTGTCCCAGTAAAACACTAGGAGGAATCAATAGGTTTGGTTTCTCAAACATATAATTCCAGCCAATGCATGCGAATCACTGAGGGCTGTTATTGCCCTATCCCATATGCCAAAGCCGGAGTCTTATCACAAGATGATTGTCACGTTTATAGTGAATCAGTTTGTTTGCAACCAGCTGCATTATGTGATGAGCAGTGAGGTACTTGAACACAGATTCTCCAGAATTCTGTAGCGCCTGCATTTTCACATCTCCATTAAAGATGATATTGTCAAGGACCACTTTTCAATGACAGAAGGGCTAAAATATATATACTGTATATAGAAAAGTAGCAAATCATTTTTCTTTGAATAACACAACTGATGTCTTTTGTGCGTCATTATTTGACATTGAAGTGCAGAATTCTGGAGAGGCTGCACAGAGGTTGGAAAAATGTTTGGGTATTGTAAACAATATGGAATATTTACCCTGGGGTAACCTAGTAATGTAATGTGCTATTAAGGGCTACCCACTGTGATTTAGTATGAAGACCTGTACTACTTATGGCATATGGACTAAAGTAGGAACATTTAAGTACAGTACCTACAAAACCTTTCTTAGAAATTAGTGTTAAAGAGCTCTGGTCAGAGTTCACTTTTAGATTGGTGATGGGATGGTCTTATCAGTTTTTTTTGTCTGTAACTGTGTATGTAATTATTTTACCATCATGTCGATTGAATACAAATGTTAATGCAAATATATTTAATTATTGCTAATTGATCACTTGGGTCACTTTTTCCAACTAGGGTGGGTTTTCTTTATGCTAACTTGCATTCAGTGTTTGAAGTCTCTAAAATATCACAGCTTGGAATTGGTTTCTAATGACCCGAGCAGAACAGGTAAATTGTTCAGGGTGTCGAGGGTTCAGTTTGACTTTGTTCTCGACTTCTAAAAACCTGGAAAACACCCTGAGATCTGACTCTTGTGTCCCACAAGGTGGTGAACCCACGATCATCTTAAGTCACTTCATTGGAGTATTGGGGTGTATCAGTGTGTATGTTCACATTGGCTTAGTCAACAAATGTTCTTCACAGTATTTTAACCGCGGCTGAGATATTCATGTGTGAGTACACACAGAGCCACAAGTGCATATATGATAGAATTAAAAGAGGAATCTTAAATTGCATATTAGCATAATCTTTTTCGTGGTATTATGTTTTCAAATACAAACACGACTACATTCAGGTATATTGACATTAAAAGAGGCAGAAAGTACAATAGCATTGCTTCAGGAAGGGAAAACAAGTTTGGTGTTTATCAAAGAAGGGGTCTGCAAATGTCTTAATCACATTTTTACAACAGACCCGTCGGCCTGTTTTTGCAGTTATGTTTTTGAAACGTCTGTCTTCATTTTTGTGCGGAACAGAAGATTCCGACCTCCTTACCTGAAGGCGTAGATAAGTGCAAGGTTGAAACACGGAGTTAAAACCAAGCTTCTTTTCAGCTTCCCCTTGTTTTGCAGACCAGAGGGATTCTTCCCCCTACTGTATTTGGAATCTAGGTTCTATGCTTTTTTTTCCCCCAAGAAGGATCAGAAGACCTATAAGCAGTGGAAACAGTGCCGGTACAAGCCGGAAGGGCAGAGGTCTTGTACCAGAGACGCACATACTACTTGGTGCATATTTACACCTGCTTGTTGTTCTTGGCAAGGTCACTCTCTCCCAGCCCTGGTATTGGCTTATGTGGACAGGCTCCAATTTTGGCGACAGAAGTGACACTGCTGACTCCTGCTGAAATGCCTCAGCTCCCACACATTTGTGCTTTTCCTGGCTATGCCTCATTTTTTGGTTCCCCCATAGGATAATTTCTAAATGCCTCGTTTTTTTTAGTTAAAATGCCTTTGTGGCGCTTTCAAGCCAGCTGGCGTAAACCTCGTCCATAACCTTTGGCAGAAGTTCTTTTAAATGATTTAGCTTGTGTTGAGATTAAGAACAAACCAGTTCCAGTGGTATTTTGCCCCCCAAAAAACATCATGTTCAGTATCACTGTTCCCTTTTGGTATTTCCCTTCATTTAGTTGTCTTCTCTGCACACAGTATGGAAGGGTGTGGGCTCAGATCCCAGGTGAGACATTGATTTTGTGCCTTTGAGCAAGGTTCTTCACCAGAAGTACTCTAGCAAGTTACCCAGCAGCGTAAATGGGTGCAGATGTTTACAAAAGCATCAGCAAAAGGTATTGGTAGTATTAGAGATCAGCTGGTTTTCTGACACTTGTCATTTGAAACCAGTGTTGTTGTGTTTGCAAATGAAACCTGAACTGCATAATACTTTTCTGAATCTCTACGAAAGGTTTATGAGCTGAGCATTAATTACATTTAAGTGACTCTCCTGCCCTGAAAAAGAACCATTACCAAAACCAGGTATGAGGATTAGTGTTTCCATCTGATGACTGTTTTTTTTTGCTCAGTAATGTCGTGTGTTTGAACCGCCATTGAATTGAGAGAGTAGGACAGAATGTATCATCACTCACGAAATGAAAAGCTTGTGTGTCATGAGACTGTGCAGGAGAGCCCTTCTTCAGTTTCCTTTCAGTGGCAGTGTGATCATCGTGTGAAGATGAAAATTTACTACACCCTTTGCTTCAAGTTGTCCCAATACCTGGTTAACCTTCAGGCAAACCCCGGAAAAAAAAGTCTGTCAGAGTGGAGAACAGATCAAAAACCACTCAAAACAGGAGTCCCTGATCCACTGGCAGTTACTGAAATGGTGCTTGTGTCGTGACTGCCACTAATTGTTTGAGTCTGTAAAATTGCTAATAATTGAAGCTGTGTGACACTTCTGGCATCTAAGGACTGGGACAGCCAAGGGAATACTTTACAGTGGGCTGTGCAAGACAGTGGTGTAGGAGTGATGTCTTCTGGCTCAAATTATAACCAAAACATTAGAGGCCTTTTAACAGTTATGTATAATCTTACCTTTTATGTCCTCCCAGACAAAACCTTAATCACTAAATTGTACAAGAATTGAATGGGGCAAAATCTGTATAATTATTGCCCAGTAAAACAAAGCCTTTCAATAAACACATCCGTTTTCATAATGCTCAGTGTTTCTCGTTCAGAACAGTCAGATATTTTCTTACAGATTAATCACGTTTGTTGAGTCTTTTCTCACCCCTTCAGCGGACCTGATTTGATGGGGGACTTCAGCAGTGGTTCCTGAGAAATGTTTTCTCCTGAGTAAAAATAATGTCTGCGATTCCCAGATTGATTGGGTAACGTAATCAGAAATATCCCTATTCTGATTTTCCAGGAGATTTTCTGGCGAGAACAATTCGATGATCACTGACAGTAAATCCTAAGATAATGAACTGCTTGTTATTTTCAAGGTTTAATACGAAATAATGTGGGGTGTGAAAGTGATTGGCAGACAGGTTACCATGAAGAACATTGTTGGGTCTCTTTATCAAACCTGCCAAGCTAAGTAAACTTGCTTCCATAGCACAAGTTACACAAGTGTGTTTCAGCAGCTAACTGCAGTGTTGTTCACGGCAGTCAGTTGTGGTTGTGAAGGGGTGATACATATTTTTAACAGAAGGGGTTTAGTCTGTAGTTAGGTTTTGTAATTCTTCAATCCCTGTCCTAAACTGTTTACTTGAAGTAGTATATTACCAACTTATAATATGTGTCTTTCCCAACAATCACCACTTGGTTATCAAGAGGTATCTCCGATGGTTAAAAATCTGTGAATTGGGATTTCTGTGTTCTCTTTTTCGAATTTCACCATTTTGGGATTTTTCAGAACGGGGTAATCAATGAAAGGGAGGCTCTGAAGGCCTGTAAAAGGCTGCCTGACACATGGTATCGACATCTGACTCTTCAGCAGACTGGGCATTCTGGGAGTTTATGGCAGCTCGCTCACAGATCCCTGCTCATTCACTGGGAGTTGAAGGTGTATTTTCCAAGTTGAGCCAAGCAAGCTGCTTTTGGTTGACCCAGGTCTTTTACAATGTATGGTACACCTGTCAAAAATGAAACAAATATATGTCAATATATTTAATGTCAATTTAAAATGATGGTGATTATTGGTCATCATTAGATGAAGCAGAAATGTAGTTCTTGATTTTTTTTGTAAGTCTGTTGCTCAACAGGTCTACTTGGAAGTGTCAGGAGAGCACCAGAGAATGTGAAGAAGGATGGTCAAGGAGTGTTGAGTGCAGTGACCTCAGTATATAGAGACTCAGTGCTAAGAGCAAAGATACTGTGCAGAGAACTCCTTTGAGATCAGAATCATTGGATAATAATGTACAGCTGTAAAGAAGAGATGTTTAATTCAAGCTAAAATTAGCTCCTAGTGTTAATCGTCATCTTATTTTGCTGACTCTTTACTGCAAGCCTTCAGCCAAAGCAGTCGGTGTGTTACTGGAATAACGCCTGCAACCACAATGATAAGGAGATGGTGAGTAGAGCATAAAATGTTATTGGAGACTTTAGGTGCAATATAAGCAAAGCATCTGTCTGTTTCAAGGAATATCAACTTGCATAGCCCAGCATTTCCAATTCATCAGGCTCAACTATCTTTGTTTAAGAGGACTAATAAACTGTTGACACTAGCCTTGATAAGCTCTAATCTACTGTAGCATTTATTCATATTGATTTCTAGCCCTGGAGTACTGTTGAAAGGTGGTTGGTGAAAAGAGGATTTGAATACAGCTAGATTAAATATCCTTTCAACAAAGCTGAGCAGTCTGGACTGTAGCTTTCCTGGCTTGTCTGGAATGAGTTTTGAAAGGCCCAACTTCTGTCAGTCGCCTGATAGACTCTCTGTTGCAAGAATAGGCACAGAAAAGAGGCTGGATCTCTTGCTGGAAGTTACAAGCTGTTTTTTTAAGGCTACAAGAGAGTAACAGCATTTAGAAATTACATCTTAGAAAAATTCAAATGTTGCTGTGGTGTTGATTTTCCCTAAGAAGATTTACACAGAAAGTTAACAAATCCTTTGTGTGCATGAATGTTTGGACTTAATCTCAAGTAGTTTCATTTGTACCAGTCAACACCACTGGCCCATGTAACACACAAAGTGCCCTTTGTCCAAGGACACTCATTCTTCACTGAGGCAGGTGTTTTTATTTATATGGGAATACAGGAATTCCCCTTTTTGTCTTTCTTCCAGTATAAATGTATTTAAAGCTTTTATATATATAAAATATATATATAGTTTTTTACCTCTAGTGCATTTTTTCCCTGTCAGTTTTGCAAGGATACCATTTTAAAAGACAATGGTGCTTTGGAGCACTAGATGGCAGTGTAAGAATTTGTAAAGTGAAAATGTGCCCTAAAATAAAATGTGGCAGTGCAGTAACCTATATTGCATGCTGCTTTAAAAAAAAAAAAGACTTGCTGCGTATGAGTTTTTTGACAATCAAGTTAATAGATATATTCATCTGAATTTTATCATGTTATCACATTTAAATGACAGTGTGACTGACAATGGCTTTAAGTGCTGTTGAAACATTGCTTTTAAACTCCAGTAACAGCTAAATGAGATGTTTCTAACCTATTTTGATAAACACATTGACAACTACCTTTTCCATAAATCCTCAGAATGTTCTTAGCATCAGTGGGGAAAACCGTATTTAGTAATAAGTTGTATTCTAATGAGAGTGCAGTGGATACTTTGGTTTAAAAAGTAGTTGCCATAATGAACTTGGAGAAGTAAAGAAAACAAAGTAGAAGCTCTTGAACTTTCTCTACCTTTTTGGTAAAAGGGCAATGTTAATT